ATATTTATATATATTTATAATTATATATATATACATATATAGTTATTTGCAAGTATATACGGAATACATATCCCGTAAACCTGTATATGTATGAATATTCAGCTCGGAATCATCGTGTAAAACACTTGTATTTTCCCTTTCAATATATATCCAATCATTAATGTATTCTGATTGGTATAATGTTAACAACAGATTTCAACGAGCACTCACATGAGAACTTAATCAATATATTTTAGAGCTTGTATTCAATAGGACCTACCCATAGCGTGACAATTTGCATAGAGATCACCATCACTGAGCCGGTGATAAATCCCAACACCAGCGTCCATAGATTAATCATCTTGCGTTCATCCAGTCACCGGAACCAGTCTCGTTCAACTATAACCTATTTTGGAGTTTGAATCGTACCGTGATATCCTACAGTTCAATCGTCCGACATATCTTAATACTATACAATCTTTTTCCCACCGTACCAGGTTGAAAGCATGATATCAGATTACTAGTACTTGTACTATATCGACGATTCAACTCCTTTTTCGAGTTTGGGACTACTTACAGGCTTTCAGTTTTAAAAGCTGGGCTCAACGCAATAGGCGAGCAATGAACCGAGTGTCATAGCCCGTCCATAGAGACGACTATCAGTCAAAGATCGCTTGGGTATTTACGCGGCGGTATAGAAAACAACAACCCTACTAGAGAGGGCGTAGAGTCGTCTATAAATAGCCTAACCTACAATGGAATATGTACCCTTAACCCTAGAGCCCACGGCCTACTGTGATATTTATCAAACCCCATTTGGGCCCTATGTACATACCATCTGATAAGTCCCATGCTTTTTCCGAAAATAAATTTATAAAACCACAACACAAAGAGTGTTCAGTGTTGGTGTGCTTAATACTGCGGCAGTTTATCCAAAAATATAAAATAAGAATTGTGTTACAGTAGTGTCCACCTATTTACAATTGTCAGTCCGTGTGTGTGTGTACGGAAACATCCTCATCTAAAGAGACAGAAAGCAATTCGCCCACATTTACATAGCACACTACTAAATCCAAGATGGTAAACAAACGGAAAGTCAGTAGTTCCATCCTTAATGCCATCGGCAGGAATAAGAAGACCGAGAAACCCTCTACCAAATACGGAAAATGGCGACTGTTTGTAGGCGACACAGTGCAGGTGGTTGACGGGTTCAAATGCCTGGGACAAAAGGGAGAGATAGTGAGAATAGACAAAATCAAGAAGAGATGTATTGTACAGGGCGTCAACACGGTAGGACGTCATGATATCAAGTGCCGTACCAGAATGAAGTTGTTATGAACTCGCTGTCGCCTTTTTGCGTTTTCTTGACTCTGTGATATATTCAGCTGTGTTCAAATCACAGCCAATGATCGTTTTATACTCCTAATGAAGCACAGTTCTTTCTCGATTTGTCTCTTCTTATTCTACACATGTGCTAAATTATTTATGGTTAATTAGAGCTTGTCCAATAACACACACACGCACACACACACATATATATATATATATATGTCTGTGTCTGTGTCTGTGTCTGTATATGCGCGCATGTGTGTGGATCTGTGTATGAATATATATATATATATATATATATATATATATATATATATGTGTGTGTTGTTGTTGTTGTGTGTGTATGTATGTTTATTTTATATGTATTAATATATGTATATCTGTATATATGTATACATATATATATTTTATCGATATATATATATATATATGTGTGTGTGTGTGTGTGTGTGTGTGTNTNTGTGTGTG